CACACACACACACACACACACACACACACACACACACACACACACACGCACCCACACACGCAGCCACCATATCACTGTGGACATGTAATTTGAGCTGAACGTACAAACTGGTCTTATTATCGCGTGTGTGTGTGTGTTGTGAGGCTGGGCTTTCAGAGGGAACCATAAAATATCATGTTATGAGCGTGTCGCCGGTTTGGAGGCGGCTTAAGTCAGTGTTTTTTTACTGTAAGGGGGGGTTGAATATGAGGTTTGGTTTCTGTCCGTAAATCAAAAATAGAAGCACATATTGGGATTTTTACAAGCCACTTGGTTGGCGGGGGACAGCTTTTATCCCAGACTAGTGTCAAACTGTCCTCTCCTGCCAGCGTTTCAGCCGAATGGAAATGACAGCACACGGCACAAACAGCCCCCAGAGCCACATCCAGTGCCCACAACAATCACTGCAGAGAGTGTCGCCTTTAAGAGGAAAAACTACTGACAACTCTCTGACATGGTAAAATGCCCAAAAACAACACCTAGATACAGACAAATCACATCTGATAATAAAGTGTGTATTCATCAATTCACGGAAATATCAAGCAACACTGTGCCGGCTGTCTCTGCCCATTTCTGTCCCCTCAGGCTCGAGGCTGCACAGTGGATTTCGGTGGCCTTTACCATCACGGCCTGTAGAAGCGACACAGTGTGGGCAGGTATTGATCCGGCAGGCTTCTCCCGGTGTGTCACATCAAAAAGCTGCATGACAGATCTGTGCATCTTTTTACGAGCCGCTGGAGGCGTCGGATAACTAAACTGATTTCTCGGGTTTCTACTGCTGAAAGTCACGACCGTACTGGGTGTAAAGGACGAGATTATCTAAACCCTTCAGATTATTCAATCAAGGTTGTGAAACAGTCACTTCTAAGTGTTTGCTGAATCCGTCTCGAACGCCAGATTCAAATAATGTTTAGAGAGGTTTTATCTGATTATCATTCCGAGTTGAGATATTAACTATGCTATTTATACACAAGGCATACAGCCAACAGGAAACTGATTCATGAGGTCACAGAGCTCATATTCTTCCAGATCCTGAATTTGATTATTTTTTGAGGGGACACATGTCAATTTGTAGGACTCAACAGGATGAGAGCAACTCATATTTTTCTGCATATTTGGCACATTGTGTATTAACAAGTGATTAAACCACAACCACTTTTCATAAAAGTCAGTCCTTAATTCACTTAGATTATAAAAATAAAAAAAGCTAATTAAGGTTTCATCATCTTCACCATTATCTTGTCAGATGAGAAGAATATTCTAATTAATTCCACATCAGTCATAAGATAATAGTACTCACCTCAGAGGAATTTTGACGGCCAGATATCTATCAATTGCAATAGCAAGAAGGCTGAAGATGGAGCTTTGAGTCAGTACCAAGACGAAACAGGCCAGGAAGAGGCATCCGTAGAAGTCCAGATCTATGCCGATGCTGATGGTTATGGCAAAGGGGATGGCGAGGCAACCGACCAGAATATCAGCCACAGCCAGGGACACTAGGAAATAGTTGGTGGCGTTCTTCAAAGTGGTGTTTATCGCGACGGCCCAGCAAACCAGTACGTTGCCGGATATGGAGAGAACCGCAATTACTACTTCAATCACGATGTAGAACGCATTCATCTCAGCAAAGTGTGTTGAAGGACTAAAACCTGCAGGCTGAGCATAACAGAAGAGGGTCATCCCCAACATACATACACACACACACACACACACACACGCGCGCGCGCGCCCGCGCTGTTTCTAGTCACAGAGGAGTAAAGAAGTCTTTCTGCTGTAATCCAGGAACATCCCACAAGTGTGAGCTGCAGAACCAGCCATCTGTTGGAAAGAAAGGAATTAACTTTAAAGCAGCTCTTGCGTCACAGAGTTTGGCGAAAGCTGCCGTGGCTGCGTGTAACGCATGGATCCTCCACGCCTGCTTCAAACCCGTGCACAGAGAACAGACAGAAAGTCCCCGGGTGATGCGTGTGCGCTCACCTTAATGAACCCGCACATCGTCTCTCTGCGACCGATCTGTGGAGAGCTCAAGCGGCATCTGTGGATCTGTAGCGCAGGCAGTGTGTGTCGCACAACTTCCCCCCCAGACGGAAGTTATGAAGAAACGCAGCACAAGAAAGGGGTAAAGAAAAGAAATCCCACAATTACACAGAGAAACCACGCCCCAAACACAGACGCGCGCACGCGGTTGCAAATTGTGCGATGTGGGTGGAATCCCAATCGAGCGTACCGCTGTGCGTAATTACGCGCCAATTTAACACCGTTCAATGACGCCTCCACGTGCTTTCAGTTTAATGTAAATGCTGTCGTGTTTGTACAACACACACACACACACACACACACACACACACACACGCACGTGCTCCCGCACTGCTCACAGACACGCGGCTGAATATGGTTTTAATTAGACTGAAATTGCGGAGTTTTTGCTCCCCACTCCAGAGAGGAGTGGAGGCAAAAACAACTGAAACAACTCGATTTACTCACGTGTTTAATGTTTCGCTTTCCTTTCGCTTTTGGCTGACGCAAACATGAGATCAGACTAAAATGTACTATATGTATATGACAATTAGTTTTAAAGAGAGGAAAAGGCACATATTATTTCTGAAACCGACTAAATTTGATCCATTGGCAATTCTCTTCAGACCCATTTTATTGCGTTAAGATATTTCCATTATGCATCACCTGCTGCCGAAATGTGTTTAAGTAGAAAAGGTGTGATGTGACGAGCAGGCAAAACTTTTCCAGTCAGTGTTCCCACATCCCCAAATGTTCCACAGGCCTGGCACAGAGTGGAAAAGCAGTTTAACCTCAACTAGAGCAACACAGCAATACTCACACAGCTGGTGCATTCAGTGAAAAGAAAAGGAGTGCTTCAACTCACCATCTTTGTGTCAAAAGATAACCTGAATAATCATTTTTAAAAAGTGAATCATTTCATATAAAACTTCAACAATCCTTTATTGAGCAATATCCATCCGCCAGGCCTCCAAATCTGACATCGGTAAATAGAAAACTGCACACGCTTCTGTCCACAATCTCACTTTTCATGATGCAAGTCTTGTAAATAAATAAATAACACTTTAATCTTCCCAAACACAAGGGCATCTGCAAATGGAGGATTGTCTAAATCATACCACGAGGGAAAGTGTGGTGGCTCTTCTCTCACATGTAAAAGTCATCATCTCCTTCAAAATTGAACATGACAATGCCAAATATGTATATTTGGCAAAGTAGCCGCAGTACCATAGTTGTTGAGACGGTCTTGATGGAAAACGTGAAGAAAACACAGGAGGGCACGACACGATGGTTCTATTCTGCCCATCCTTTAAATCCTATTTAGTTTCGCACCACAGATGGCTGCTGGAGTTTGTTTGATTTCTATTCGAAAGAATGCACACAATTAAAGGTGAAAAATATAAAGGCTTCAGTTCTACTCAAACCCGTCAGTTCAAAATACTCTCTGCTCTGCAAAGTACAACCCCAGCTAGTTCACAATAAGCACTCGGTATGAGAACTGATCCAATTCTTCAAAGCAACATTTCAGCAAACGGAACAAATTTTATGGAAAGTTTGGTTTCCCACTGCTTCCCTCGTGACTGCCTGTTGCTCAGTGAAAGTAGACGCCACACGGAGCAGCCACACAGCAGCTCAGGCTACGCTGTCATCATGCATAGATGGTCTGGAACAAGTTGTGTCGTGGAAGAAGATTTGGCACATATTGAAAGTGACCACAACCAGAGCATTGGATTCACAAACAACACTGATAATTAGCAAATAATTGAAAAATATCTTGTGTGTGTGTATTTTTGTCTGTTCTTTCAAAGTCAATGGAGAGAAAAAAATCTGTTCTGAATCCTCTCTCAGTCATGCTGTCAACTGCCACAAGGCTTGGAAAGTATTTTGCACCATAATGTGTTCGTCTGCTCTCATTTGTTTGTGAATCAGATGCTCAATTGACACGTTAAACTGGTAAAAAGGGCATTCCTGTTTCCTGACTGCAGTCTTTGTAAATGTGGGCCTCAGCGCTCACTGTCCTGTCCCGTTAAGAAATGAGTAAAGAGCAGCTCTGTGACTTCCTCAGTCATGTCCCTGGTGTCAGTGAGCAGCAGTCGGTCTGTCTGAAAGGTAAATGTAGACGTAAAAGTGCTGCAGTGCCTCCGATTCATCGGTCTCCAGCTCCCCCTCTCCCCCGTCGGTCAGGTCTCAAAGTACTTGTAGATCTGAGAGACGTACTGCATGACGCTCTGCCAGTCCGGCCGGTCCGTCTTCATCAGCTCCTCCATGTCCTGTTTAGAACAGGAAGAGGAGTGAATGAACAGGGACTGAGAGTTCAGGTGTGAGTTAGTGGTGTTTGGATTGTAATCTGCTCGAGTCAGAGCTAAAGATGCTGCAATAGATCTGATATGATCTTCTGATCTGATCTGTTTTTATGTAAATATCTAATGTGAGCAGCATTCAAAGTCACTGCTGAGAAGGGCGTCTGCCAAATCCCATGAATATGGATGTTAAGAGATTTTCAGAATGACCATATCCCCACTAGTCCTTTAAACACTAGAACGTAGAACAAACACGCAGCCATTGCAAGCTCACGTCACACACGACCCCAAATAATGTAATCATTTGCAAGAATCACTGTTGATTCAATCACTCATTGAGGAAATAGATTAGACAGGTGGCCAATGAGGTGTTTGAGGGGATTCACATTGGTTTTTCAGTTCTAAATGGTTTCTTATTAACATGCTTTTTGTGTACTTTCATTTTCCTTTTTTATTTATTTTTTATCGAGTGTTTTAGATTACTATTACATATAAAGTACTCACTGAACGAGGGTGAACATTGACAGTGAGAAACCTGTGACCAGACTGTTGAAACTGGTGTTTGTTACGGTCGGCTGTATTATTGGGTTACCTTATGTGAGTCTCAATGAGAAATCACAGAAAGAAACATCATTTTAGTGTCAAACTGATGCATATCCTCAGTTATTTACTTCTGACAGTGAACTGAGAGTGAGTTTACTATTTTGAGTGGATGAGGGACTTTCGCAGGACAAAACAAAGCAACGTGCTGCTCAATAGTGTGTTTCAGAAAATGTGCTGAAGCTACTATGTGCTTCAAAATGAAATCTCCAGTACGATGAGATAAATCCTGACCGCCGGTGATGAGTCAGACAGTGAGCCAGGCTTTCACATGACTCCACATGGAGCCGGCGTCACAGCAGCTTCCCTTTAGCGCAGATTTATACAGAGCTCCAGCACAGTCACTGCCATGATGTCTCAGCCTCCTAACGGGACGATGATCAGCTGCTCTCTGTGTCTGATGGTTCTGTTTATGCTGAGCAAGAAGCAGTTGGAAACTTGAAAGTCATTGGCATGGGAACGACCTTCCCAAATCCAATCTCGCAACCGCAACCACAACCAAATGATAAGAAGTGTGACCTTTGGTCTCAGGGAAACATTGAAGCCTAATTCTTCCACATTTAGAACAAACTGTTCGACATTCAGAGAGAATGAATATCCAACAGATTGTTTGCGGCAGAATATTATCAGCAGAGGATTTTATTAAGTCAACAGTGAACTGTTCAGTTTAGGTTCTTTCACACGAGACATTTCTGAATCCGTGTGTTTCTCTGTCTCTGCTTTTCTCAGTGGTTTGAAGTGGGCGGGGCTCAGTTAAGAAAAAAAGGTGATGTCACGTACTTTGCAGCACCAACGAGGATTAAACAAAACATTTCAGTCAAAACCTGATGAGCGGTAATGTGGTTGTTTGCTCGTGTTGCTAGGCTACTGTCAATCCAATCTGATCACACCACACCCACACGGTCCTGATGAAGAGTATCAGGTCAGCTTGTGACAGTGATTTAAGCTTTTAATAAACAACATAACTTTAACTTTTCGATTGTTTCTTATCTAGTATTCAATATGTTATAGAGAAACTATTTATTTTAAAACATGTTTTCTGCGGCTTTAAGGCAAACTGCACCCTGAAAATGCTGTTCTTAAAAGAGTAGTTTGACATTTTGGGAAATGCTGTACCTATGTTTGCTACTTTTGGAAGGATTTCTATGAAAATAGTGTGCACACATTAATGTCCCCTCATAGTGTCGCCAGCATGGCTCTCGTTGCACAAGTGTCTGTATGCATCGAACAAAAGAGACGTGTTAATGCGTGAGCTTTAGAGGTGCTTTCGTTTTAACCGATGGACAGAGTCAAGCTGCTTCCCTTCTTTATGCTAAGCTAACAGCTTCCAGGCTCTAGCTTTGTATGTGACAGACATGACGGTATCTATTTTTAAACTCTCAGCAAGAACGTGATAAAGTGAATGTGCCTAAATGTTTGGACTATTCCCCGAGGAGATGGACAGCTCCCTCCACATTTGCTACCATAAGCCCGTTGCACTGCTTCACCGTGATAATATTTTGTTCACTGCACGGCACAACATGGAGGGATTTTATGCTCACATAAGTCATTTCTGGGGAGGGATGCGAATGTTTTCACAAACAAATTAAGCTAGTCAAAGTCAAGTTGTATCTGAATTATGTATTAGGTTAGTTTTTCTCTTGATGCAAAGTGTCGTACATTTCCAGCACGCAGTGGTTGGCTCAAGGCGTTCCAGCAAGAAAGGCCTCATAACTGATACGAGAGCGAAGCTCAAGACTGTAAGGAGGAAAAGTGGTCGGATGAAATGGTTGTGGGGCATCTCACATCCTGAAATGTGCTGTTTCCAATTGTCTAATCAAAGGGTCTTCCTGTGTTATCTCTCTGTCTGTCTGTGTGTCTGTGTGTGTGTGTGTGTGTGTGTGTGTGTGTGTGTGTGTGTGTGTGTGTGTGTGAGGTCTGTGGCAGCTCAACTCACCAGAGAGGGTTTGATCCCGATGCTCTCGGCGGCCTGGAAAGCCAGGGTCAGATTCCGGTCCTGAAGAAAAACAAATCATTGGGTGTTCAGACCCTCGTCATCCTGCAACCCCACACACGGAGGTTTGAACCGCAACAAATACAAAGACCCAAGAGACAGTCTGCAACATATGTGAGCCTATAGCTTGTTTGCATGAGACTTTCAGTGTGTTATATTATCCACGATGTTTATTTGAAGTGTTCCACAGAAGAAAAAAAAGAGAAATCCAAACAGACATTAGACACTTGACATCATGGATGATGTAGCTGTAGAACAATTTCTCCCTTATTTGACCTACAATATAAGTCGTGACGTTGCTTGCTTAAAAGCCTTTCTGTTAAAGGGCATATGAGGGCAGTAATGGGATTATTGGAAGAACAGATTATACTGGGAAGAGGTTGGAGGTGTTTGGGCCTCAGGAAAAGTCACTCAGCAAGAGTTATTAAAGCCAACAAGGGTCTATTTAATTATTCAGAGAGATGTCTCTGTCATCAGCTCCGTGTTACACACACCTATATCACTAATTCGTCACGTAGGATGTGTCGGGCCTGGTTGGAGGTGTTCGTCTATTGTTTTAATGTCGCGGCAGGCTGAAAGACCCGCAGTCCCCAGAGAGGAAATATATTGTTTGTACAGATACTGTATATACCACCTGCATGTCCACAGAGGAACATACACTTTGTTTGCTCTACTCACAAATCAGACAGGACATTCTCTTCAGGTTCAAATATATTCACAGCTGTACTTAATTAAATACAGACTGAGCTCTGGCTCTTATGGAACAAATGCAAAATGCATCTCTGATATCATTTTGAATGAATTCAACATAATTCAACATAATTGAGCAAAGCATCCAGTCAGTGTTGTGGTAACCTTCAAAGGGCTCTGTGTCACCGACTAGACTATGATGTTTCTTAACATTATACAATGAATTCTTCATGGACTTTTTCATGACAGACTAAACTGTAACTTTTTATGACTTATTTATGACATATTTTACTTTGACTTATTTATGACATACTATGTTAGGACTTTTTATATTTTTGAAACCAACTATAGAAGGACTTTTTATATAAAATACTACACTAACATTTTTAAGGTTTACTACACCATGACATTGTTATGACATGATACACTATGGCATTTGTTTATGACAGTATTTGGACAAATGGAACTATGACTTTTTAAAACCGTTATTTTGACATACGATACAATTTTTTTATGAAATCTCTTTGCATACTTTTCTATGACTTTTTAATTACTTTTTTTTCGACATGCTACACTGAGTTTTGTGGAAATACTAAACTATGACTTTTTATGCCCTTTTTCGTCTTACTATACTACGACTTATTTCGACATAATAAACCAAACTCTTTTTTAATTACTTTTTTCACATACTTTTCTGTGACTTTTTTATAACTACACTATGACTTTCTGATGACTTTGTTCAACATAATATACTGTGACTTTTTTCAAGATACTATGATATGACTTGTTTTGACATACTATTCTGTCTTTTCATGACTATTTTTCAAAATACTATATGATGACTTTTTTTCGACTTTAATGACATTTTAATGAATTTTTTCAGCATACTATACTGTTTTTTTATGGCTCTTTTGACATACTATATATACTAAGACTTTTTTCAACATACCATACTATGACTCTTTCGACATACTATAATATGTCTTTTTTTTTTTACATAATATACTTTGGCTTTTTATGACTTTTACTCTGCCTACTATAATAATGTCTTTTTTATTTTATTAACAGTTTGCATGACAAAACAACACTTTATCTGCTGTTGCAGCCTTCAGGTTTCTGGGATCCACCATCTCTCAGAACCTCGAGTGAACTTCCAACAAAGACACCATCAGCATCAACTTCCTGCGCTGGCTCAGGAAGTTCAGCCTGCCTCCAGAGCTGCTGATGCAGTTCTATACTGCAATCAACCAGTCTTTTCTCTGCATGTCCATCAGTGTGTGGTTTGGATAAGCCATCAAACAGACCAGGAGCAGACTACAACAAACTGTCAGGAATACAGAGAAAGTCACTGATGCGAGCATGCCCTCAATGCAGGGCTTAGACACCTCCAGAGTAAAGACATGGCAGAAAATAACACTGCAGAGCGTTCACACTGTGGACACAAGCTGCTTCAGCTCATCCCATCTTGTAGACAACACAGAAAACTGTCTGTGAAACAACCAGACACAGATGATGAACAGTTAAATAGTGTCAAAATCGTTGATAAATATACTCTGTATTTCATAGTTTAAATATCCACTGTACTTTAGAGTGCGAGTATCATCACTACGCCTCATGCATGTAAAGCAATCGGTCACATTAATCATTCCATATTTATTCCAAAACATTTTGCACTCTGCACCATTGTACTTTATATAATCTGTACAGATTAGTCCCAAGTCATATGTTCATAGTAGTCAAATGTGTATGTTTACCTTATTCAGCTTTGTTGTCCCTGTTTTTAGCCGTATGTCTGTTTCTGTTAATGTATCGAGAGCAGTGAAATACCGTCAATCATTGTAAATGTTTTTCACACTTGACCATTAAAGTTGATTCTTCTGTTTCTGATTTTTTATAATCACACTATAATGTAACTTTTGCAACATACATACTATACGTTTTTGTAATTACTATCCTATGAACGTTTTATGACTTTTTTAACTATGGATTTTGTGGCTATACTATAACTTTTCTTTGACACACTACACTCGGACTTTTGACAACAAACTAAACTACTTTTTACTTTACTGAACATACAATGCTATGCAAACCTACAACTACTGCGAAATAATATACTGTGACTTTTTAAGGACTTTAAAAACATAATATAGGATGACTTTTTAATGACCATTTCTCAACCTACTATACTGTGACATTTTTTGACCTACTATACTATGACTTTTTCGATGTACTATACTGGGACTTTTTTAGATTTGTTAACAGCCTTTACGACACTCGTTCAGCGGTCCAGGAAACCAACCAACCAATTACATGCGTTGTAAATCACATCACGTGACGCTACTCAGCCAATCAAATACGTCTATTCTGATAAACTTCCCGACTCGAGTAAGATTTACACACGGGGGAGACGGGGAATGTTAATGAGGCTGAAACAAGTCGTTTCAACAAACACAGGTTTAGAAGGTGAGAAGAATATAATATCGTGGCTTTCACTTCAAACCTCAATGAACTGAATTTAAAGCTGCAGGGCAAAGACAATTCAGTAAAGTCATTTTTCTTAAATTAAGTATTTTATTTTAAGTTAAACATTTTTCAAAAGCTTTCTTTTATGTCATTTATTCTTATTTTACTTGAAACGAGAGGAAATCATTGATTTATTATTAGATTATGTATTATATATAATTCATCCAGTTCAATTTAAAAACTGACAATAACTATTTTTGAGATATTTTTCAATCAAACTTTCTCTATTTGATTGTACATTCAGCTGTTGACTACATACAAACGTTAATACAACTGCGAGGCTACTTCAATAATTATGGCACTAAATCAGGAAGTTAGACATTCCTGTGATGTTCCGGACCTTTGCGTGAGGAAAGTCCCTCTGAACGGACCTCGTTGAATTCTAATTGAATACCTCTGGAATAGTATGTCGAAAAAAGTCAGGTCTAGTTTATCGAAAAATACTTATTATTGACGTTTTTTGACATACTATACTTTGACTTTTTTCAAAATACTATACTTCTTTTTTGGAAAAACAAAACTATGCATTTTTGTCCATACTATAACATGACTTTCATGCCTTTTACTATGACTTTATTATGACTTTTTTTGACATTCCAGACCATGACTTTAGACATACTATACAATAACTATTTTGGACATAGTAAACTAGGACTTTTTAGGCCTTTTTAAACACACTATACTATGATGTTTTTTTTGACATCACATACTATACAATGATATTTTGTTTGTTTTTGTATACGTCACAATTTTTAGGAAAATGCTATTCTCTGACTTTTTCTTATTTTTATGACTACTTTTATCACTTCTTATGATATATTATACCATGATCTCTTTATGACACACTATAAGGTTTATTATGACATAGTATTCCATGACATTTTTATGACACACTATACTATGAAAAGATATACTATGATTTTTTCATGACATGCGAGATAGGACTTGAGTGTGTGCAATCTTCCTGTAATTTTCTACCTTATCTTGACTGATGAGTTCATGGTAAGGGATGTGAGCGGGCAGATATGTGTGCAAGAGGGCACAGAAAGCCAAGCCGTCACTCCAACTGTTGCTGAAGTTGGTCACATCAATATTCTGTAGACAGCAAAGAAGAGGACAGGTCAAAATCAATATCACATAATCATAATGAGCTTAAAGTGCCGATAATTTTTGTAAGAGAGCAAATAGCCTCTTTATGACATAAACTGGCCATTAAAAAAAAGCCATTAATTCATAGAACCACAGGAAACACAATGGCAATTAAAATTGAATGCTATTGTACGCTGTTCTGGGTCGTGTTTCCTTTGGAGGATGTTGGGAGGTTCCTCTTCTTGGATCCCATTTCAGCCTCCGATGCCCTTTCTAATCTCTCCGCTGTGTGAGGAACGTGCATAGCAGCATGTCCAATCTGTTGTGTTTGTGTTTGTGTGTGTGCTTTTCACAGAGCATCGTCAGCCCATATTGAAGGTCTGATAAGAGTAGAGAGGTTGGAGGAAAGGCACCCACCCATTGGCATTGCAGGCTCACTGTTAGATAGATAAGTTATTTCCGGTGTCTTCTCATTTATCCCTCTCATGAGCTTTGGGAATGGGGCTCACCGCCAGGGAGACTGTGTCTGTGAGGCTTCATAGGACTCCCATACCGAACCACACGCTGAACCAGAGGAAATTACAGAGTTTGGCCATAAACCAGGTTTCGAAAAAATAAAAGATTTGACCTGTTGACGGCACTATATGGAAAGCCAATGGATCACCAAAGAGATTACTCTTCATTTCATCCTCTGGGGAAGAAGAATGTTTGTACCAAATTCCATGGCAATCCATCCAATTGCTGTTGAGACATTTCACAAAGAAACAAAAATATGAACTTCATGGTGGTGCTAAAGGAAAAGTTAGAGATTATTCTCTGAGGACAATGAATGTCAGTATAAAATATCATGACAAACTAATAGTTGTTGAGATATTTGAGTTTGGATCAATTACTGGACCGACCAAAAAGCCAACATTGCATTGGTAAAAGTCATATATTACATATTATTACACTATTTTCTGACTGTAGCCCAGTGTGTGCAGACTGAAACCCCTGTTGGCATTAAATTGCTTCTCCATTGATATCTAGGGTCATGCAGATGTGTGTGGTACAGCCCCAGCTGAGTTGTGTCTTTCTAGATAAAAGAAGAAGCCCTGCCATACTGTTACCATACTGCAAAAAGCAGAAAGACAGAAAACAACAAGAAAGTTAAATGTGCACTTGTTTAAGACTTAGTAAATAGGGATTACATTCTTTTTATCTATTGTTTGGGATAAACTGCACTGCATAAAATATCTTTGGGTACATCTTTGTGTCTGTACACAAAGCATTGGCTATAGTGAGATGCTAAAGATTGGAAATGCAGCATGTGTTGTTTACTGTTGCTCTAAGCCAGTGGTCTTCAATGCCGGCCCTGAGAACCAGCGCTAATCTAACCATAAATGTGACGCCAGCGGAATGTAATGCATTACCTGATATGAACTCTGGTAGAAATCACAGCTTTAAGTCACTGCAGTAATGACTATCCCCTGAGCTCCTAGCGAATGTTATTTCTGTGAAAAGTGCAGCCAATCATTGTCCAACTTGAGTCATCAGGGAAAGACAGAGCATTTGTGGTCACAATGGCATACGAGGGAGCAGCTGGTTCATCTGAATGAAGCTAAACAGGATGCATGAGCCTGGGCTCAGGCTTTGTTCACGTTTACTATCATTTCTCATGTAATGCAGTCGATCTGTGTGTGATCAAGAATCACCCAATCAATCACAAACTTATGATTATCATAAGGGAAAGAAAACTCCCATAATTATATACTAAAAAAACACTCAGATACTAGCATGTACTACAGTAGGAATTAACAGCAATGTTGTACTTCAAGGCCAAAAGCGATCTCTATTCTGCAGATAACATTTTGGTTATCTGATGCTTTCATGGTATAACAGAGGCTGAGAATGAGAGTGTTTGGATGCTGGAGCCTCCTCTCCATCAGTCAATGCCTTTCTATTATGTCTGGAGGGCAGACCTGTTCAGTCATGTCATCCCACATTCTTCTCATAACTCCCCCCGTCTCTCTCTTAGCTGGCTCATCAACTGTGAGCACTGTGTGCGTGTGCTAATCGTGCAGACTGACATATACACACACAGACGCACAAACACACACACAGAGGGAGTGATAGGGGTTGATCAGACCCCAGAGACTTTGAGACCAAGATAGACAATGACAAATAAGCTGATAAGAGGGGCTGCAACGTGCAGTTTGTATGTGCGTGTGTAAGAGTATGTGTCTGGGTGATCTGAGGTGATTGCTTATCTGTATCATAATGCTGCTGTAGAGAACAAATATCCCCTTGCAGGATTAATAAAGTATCTATCTATCTCTCCAATCCAGGCCAGGGCAGGTAGGATGGAGTTCAGGGTGGGAGATGAAAGGGGAAAGGGGTTGCGTGTGGGAGCTGGGCTTCGTTCAGGGTAGAAAGAGAGGGAGAGGCATGAATGCTAAAACAGCAGTGGACAACAACAGCTCTCTGGGAGCCGGCTCAGAAAAGCAAACACAGCATCAAGCGACAGGAAGCGTCTCACTCGGCACAAAAGGCAGAGCCGTGGCTTTTTAGGGCTCAGAGAAAGAGAATATATGAGAGAGAAGCAGGGGATTGTACAGAGGATGACTGGACAGAGAAAAAAAAAAAAAGAGTTAATGTTAAGTCGATCTGTATATCTCCAAGTGGGAAGCAGATACGTTCTATGGTAGCATCAGTAGATGCATTTCAAGTGAAAATGAGCCTTGAAAGTTTATCAGGTAACAAAATGTAGACAAAACCATAACAGCCTAGAAGAGGAACATGCTACAGAACTGATTCTCTGCCTTTTAATGGTGCACAAGAAAGACACTTGCCGATGTCACGAAAAGCATGCAGCAAAAATATAAGCAGCTACTGTAGAAACTGCTCGTGGAAAAGTGGAAAAAGTGGTGGGAAGTTTGTGTAGATTTAATGTAATATTTACTTTGTATATCGTTCACAAAACATGCGAATAGGGCTGTGCCTAACGATTATTTTGAGTCAGACAAGAGTGTCCACTTTCCCAGAGCCAAAGATGCTGTCTTCAAATAACTTGTTTTGTCAGATAATTATTAATCTTGAAGAGAAAATGCCTTAAACAATTAATCGATCTTCAAAAATGTTGCCGGTTATTTTTCTATCGATCAACTAATCAATTAATCGAGTAATCATTTCAGACCTGCATGGGACTGAAGCTGCAGAGGACGTTAAAGACAAAGGACAGCATGAGCTCTGTTGTAAACCATTTGGAGAAGGAATTCACAGACGAGCTGGACACGAGCCAAGTGCACTGAAAGCAACACCGACAGCAATTTAACAGTGTGTGCAGCAATGGGAGTTCAGCGTGTGCACTCTGCTGCCACATGTAGAGCTACTGGACTGGTGTCTCTCTGCCCCTCTGCTGTCATGCTCCCATGACACTTGGCACCCTGATGTCAACGTGCCATTGTTGAGCTCTCACTTACAGATCAAGAATGTCAAAAAGAAACACCGAAGCACAATGCAACATGCAGCCGGTGAGCAGGGAGGGATGGAGGATATCTGTGACACGCACAGCTTGTTAAAAAGACATCAGTCCAAAGAAAGCAGGAGACATCGAGCCCGAGAGCCGTCTGACTGATGAGCTAGTCTCAGTGTGTTTCCTGTCTCAGAATCTCTCCAGCTCACCTCGAAGGAGTCGGGCAACACGAAGACAAACGACCCAGAATGACATGTGAATAAAAGAAAGAACAGAAAGAATAGAGGAGGAGAAAAAAAACCTCAAATGAGATAAGAAAGTTTGAAATGGAGTAACAAAGAGTGAGACAGCGAAGGGAGAACGCCCTAATGTACCATGCAATGAATCACAGTCATGAGCAGTGACAGGCTGAAAGCCCGGGCAGGCGGGACTATGGAGGAAAAGACGGGGCAACAGGGAAGGTCACAGTGCTGCTGCAGCTAGATAGATAGCTAGACAGAGGATTTACTGGATGCATTCTGCACACATGGCGGCATAAAGAGTGGGGAGGGCACAGATCAGCTGCACCGATGCCCTGTGACAGATCTACATCTGACGGAAAATGTTCACCTGTGATAATAAAATGTATTTATATTATTATAACCTAAAGGAGACCTCTGAGCCAAACATAATCATAGCTGTACCATTGATTTATTTTCATTCCTGAACTCAATTCTAATTTCGAGACTTAGTATCGTGGATCACTAGTATATCAAAGTGATCCAACCGCCTCTAGTCCTTCTACTGAGCTACGCTGTCCACATCCTGGACCTCTGTACTGTCAGACATAACCATTTAGCACAACCACTTACCAGATGTCCAGGGTTACTCAATATGTTTTGGTTTTTTTTGCACTTAAGCCCAGAAAAACTTCAAGTTTCTATTCAAATTTGAACAAGATATTGTTTCGTTATCATGATTATTGATCATTTGAGGAATAATAAAAAAATAATACAGTACATTTATTAATAGCAACTGTATTCTGTTATTTTACACTGATGGCTCACTTACAGCACCATTACTGTTAATCCTAAATTGTTAAAATATACTTCAATGGATACTCTTTGAACTCCAAACCTCTTCCCCTCCTCGATGTCTGACCTCCATTCCACTCTCGCTTTGGGGTTCTTTGGGGTTCATTCCTTCAATGGCTTTGTGCGAGCGTGTGCGTGTGCGAGTGTGTGTGTGTGTGTGTGTGTGTGTGTGTGTGTGTGTGTGTGAGTTTCCCAGACGTGGCCGGATGAGCTGTGCTCTGTCAGGCCCAGCTGAGCCTAATGTTCAGAGCCTTTGCTCATTGTTCCCATCTTGAACAAACAGCGTATTTATTTTTGTTTGGCTTCTATGGTTAATTGAGAAAAAAAAAAAAAGTTTAAAAAGTGTCCAGAGCTGTCCTAAATTAAGACATCAAAGAGCCTGATAAATATACAGTAGGAGGCTGGAGTGTTTCGAGAGCAGGAAAAAGTCATGCGCATATAGAAGTCACAAAACATCCAGTTACAGCAACGTGTTCATTTGAGCCAGATCTTACAAACTGCCTTAAAAACCAGCTTAAGTGAAGTTGTTTAAAAGCGGTCTTGTGTTTCAAGTCTGTGTCCATTCCAGCGCTGATGAGCACAGAATCCCTCGTGAATACCAATTTCCTGTCAGAGGCCGCTTCTCTCCCACAGGGCAGAGTCAATCAGAGTGAGCTTAAGGTCTTCACCGATCGAGCTGTGCTTCCCAGAATCTGACATTTGTAGTGTCGGAGCTTAGCTGGACTCACACGTCCTCCGCGTTGTGAGTGTTTTACACATGTCACGTATTCAGCTGCTCCAAGGACCTCTGCGTTACTGGGGTTTGGAGGCAGCTGTTGGGTGAACACACCCTTTCAAACACCGAATTCTCCCTCAGGGGTTCATGGGCTCTTCTGCATGATGATGGCACAGCCGTCCTATCCATCCTATGTGTTTTTCTTTCCCTAACCATGTTAAGCTGTCACAGTCCATCCAGCGACAAGATCCACATGGCAGACTATGCACCAACACGTCCATACATATAAACACATGGCTCAACAGGATGCATGATTTAAGGCACTTGGGCCATGGTTGCTGCTTTCCTTGTGTTTTTTCCCCCATGTCACCTAAATGCATTAAAGAAAAAGATAAGCATGCATTTGCAGAACCACACCTTACCTCACATGGATCAACAAGAAGACGCTTCATTCTTGTTTTTTTAGTCCATCACAACCTACACTGGTGGTCGAATTTAATCTTCTCCTTGTGATGAGTCCAAGCACTCATCTCTCTCATCCCTTTATTGATCACAGTCAACAGGCGAAGTGTGACACCAGGCTTTGTGTCCAGCTATAATCACAGAGATTTATTGTGCCCTCGGCAGCTATTTGCATCTAAACATCAAATAACCTCCCGGCGTGCTTACAATAGCTCCGGTTTTCAGTTTCACTTTAATTACGCTGCTGTTTGACCAAAAGGTCCGCCAACAATGGGACTGTAATAACAACTGGCCCAGGGCTGACCCCGTCGGCTTTGTCCCCGTCTTACACAGCAGCATTTCTGGCTCCGTGCTGGCAGATGAGCACGATATATAAGAGCTCGTTATCAAAGTAAACAGCTGCCTCTTCCAAGTGACCATTAATTATGTAGCCTGAAGAGGCCAAGCATAAATTACAACTGGGTCACTCAAAACTTAAGAGCCAATTAGTGTTGAGTTATTACCTCTTTGACCTTACTTCAGAGCAGAGAAGAGAGGAACTGCAAATTGCATATGGGTGTATTGATAAAACTTAACCTCACTGACCTTTATCAGAGCAGAACACAAGCATGACGGAGATAAAGAAAGACAAAGGCAACCTGGATGTCACTGTATTTCAGGCGACCGTCGTCGTCTCTGTCCTGGAGCTACAAACCACGGTGACAAGTCAGACGGTCTCCGGGCATTCGGCCTGTAATTAGTGGCTTCCATGTGGACGGTGGCCTTATAACGCTGTAACAGCGTGACCTTTCACCAGACATATGAAGCGCAACACGTCCTCGGATAGTAACCTTTTGCCGAAAGCTTGCCAGACTCAAGCGTGGGCCTGTGGCCACTCTCGTTCTGGTGCAGACTCAGCTGGGCTCCATTTACTGTAAGAGACGCACAAGCACTATATGTGACACACGCAAACATACAGTGCATATCCACGCATCATAGAAATCTGAAATCCCTGTGGAAGGTGCTGGAATTTCACCATAAAAAGCAAAAATCCCAAGAGGTCAAAAACAGCCTCTCTCTTATACCTCTGCTGGGAAACTCAAATTTATGTACAGAATTTGGGGTTGAAGGTATTTTGCTTAAAAGATCTCAGATGTCTCAACGTATAAGGGCATCTTTGACTCACGTGCTTCTCTTAATCTACCTCTTCATGCCGATGAACAGTCGTATACTGTACTGTACCTCGCATTTTGAACACATTCTTGAGTGTATTACATAATGTTAAGAAGATCCATCTATCGACAGATATAAAAACTTTGTAAACTTGTGTATGTACGTTGTGAGCAAAGTGAAACCCGGAGTCAAATTCCTTGTATGCGTACGCATACATGGCCAATAAAGCTGATTCTGATTATTCTTCCCTTTAGAAAAACCCACACAAGTTCCACCCACAAGTTCACTGGGAACTCATTCATTAGAAATTAATTAGATATGCAAATATACATGCATCATGATTAACTGCTCTTAAAGCAATGTAGTAATGTGCAGTCACGCTTGTTCTAAAAATAGACATTTCTTTACGGTTAACTGCCTGATAGTCTGTGAATGAAGTCAGTTACAGGTCAGGCACGCGGCACAAACACGAATGATCACAGCTCGAATCACGGAGCAGTTCCTCCAGGAGGGGACTGATTATTCCACAGACTGAAACTCTCCTAGTTGCCAAATCGTCTTACTGCATTCCTGATACTTGCAAATAATCACACTGTGTTGCTAAGCCCTTTGTGAGAGGGGATCATAGATTCCATACTTAAATGGAAATGAGGCTCCATTCAGGGTTTCATGTCGCTGGACCCAACTGTCCTGAACGGAACTGAGATTTGCAATTCCACTTGTGTTACTGTTTAACAGGAGTCCGTTTGAACCTAAGCAGCAGTGGAACGTTTCTCAGCACATTTACTTAAGTACTATACTTAAGTGCAATTGTGAGCACTTTGAGTACTTAACTAAAGTATTTTTAATTCAATGCTACTACTTTACCTGGTACTAGTTAAAATTAGCTCCACCTTGACAACTGCAGCGCTGTCAATCAATATTAGCAATAACTGATCAATCAACAGAAAATGAACTGTCAACAAACAAAAATGACGAATCTTCTCTGGTTCAAACGTCTCAAATGTAAGCCCCATATATACTGCATACATCACAACATATCAGTCTGCATTAGTAACACTTTTGATACATTTTCAGACAGTAGTTCTGTACTTTTAGAAAGTAAAATTATGAATTCAGGACTATTGCTAACGTAGTGTTTGCAGACTGTAGTATTACTTCTTTTACTTAAGTAAAGGATCTGAGTACTTCTTCCAGCACTGACCCGGGGCAACTTAAAATGCCTGAAAACATCAGGCCGCATGACTTTGTTAAGCCTTTTTAATCTCTTTTAAAAACATGTTTTTAACAACTTGAATTTGCATACTGAAAATATTTGCCTCCGTCTTTGTTCTGAATGAGCTGAATTACTTGATGTTACCGTGTCTACTAATATCATTAAGATTGTTGTTAGTTTTCCTCTGCAGCACTTTGAAAGTTCATAAGTAAATAAGCATGAGGCTGGTGGTGGAAATGGTTACTGAACCAGTGACCTTTCATTACGAGCCAGTGTCATTAACAAAGGACTGTAAAAATCTAAACAATGTGAGCCACGGCAGTCTGTATACAGGTCCGTCATCTTATGACAGCAGATCATGAGACTGTCTGTTGCTCAACAGCAGTTTTATCTCATCTGGTCAGATATTTCCATCACAGATGATTTTCTGTTGTGTGTTTTAACAACACTGCCCTGTGTGACCGTCAAACATCCAACCTCCGATGAAGGGAGGGTGACTCAAAGTTCACTGAGCAGCATTGTGCTTGAGAAATAGGAACTATTGATCTGACAACTCATCCTATTATGCAGAGCATTTATCACCGGCTAAGCTGAGTCTATTTTTAGCAGTTATCGACACCCGTGCTTTTCCACACTTGGTCGAGCCAGAGATATACAAGCTAAAAGTGCTGAAATGACTCCTTTTCCTTCTAAACGAAGGTTTGCAGGTTCGGACCCGTCTTCCTGCCGGTACGAGTTTTAGCATTCGCTAGCTGGCAACGTGGCACACAAACATGATGATTACAAATCTGTAATCCCACTGGGCTCAATGGGCTCCTTAAACTGGGTATTAGGGGAGCAGCTAAGCCAGGTGATTGTCAGCACTTGGCTCCATGGACACGGGGAACACAGATGGAGACGCGACACAATAACAATGCATAAACAAATGGGCATGCATAAAAGCAAGCAGGGCTATATAAATACACACCTGTATGAATCCAGTGTGTCGTCACTGTGGCACAGAGATAATGGAAGCATTGAGTGCTTTGCATCATTGTTTCCATTACCTCTGTGCCACAGTGACTTCATACCCCCCAGTGAGATGACAGGTGGGTGAATGGCGGGTCTCCAAACACTTATGTGCGACTACACTCCAACACCTCAGTGATGGCTGAAAAAAAAAAAAAAAATGAAATAACTACAGAACCTCAGGCCATTTAGACAGTCCAAAGCTGCATCGACGCAGAGCGAGGGAGTGGGAGATGTCATGTCACTTTTGAATGAAAACCTGACAAGACTAAAATAAAGCTGCCGGACAACGTAGCAGAGAAAAGCAGGGTGTGAAAGTGAATGAGGCCCGCCTGGTATTTGAGAGACGTCTCTGGCCTGTGATCCCTACCGGATAGCCTTCTGTTTTCTTCTGGCACCACTTCAGTAGAGCGTTTCTCTTAGATCCTCCGTACTCCCGCGCCAGTGCAGCCAAGGGGTCCTTTCTTTCCACACTGTCACCAGGGGAATACAAACAGCAATCACACACACACACACACACACACACACACACACACACACACACACACACACAGAGAGAATGAGGAACGGTTACAATATGTCATAAAGTCATAATAATACAAGTTCTGTAAGCAATTACTGACAGTATAAGAATGTGTACAATTAAGTTTAAATGTTTCCAGACAAAGTTCCTGTGTAGAAAATAAGTTTAATGTCTGACACTAGTTCTAGTACTCGTGGCCTTGATGTAAAAACACATGATTTTTTTCCAGATCTCCCATTGTGCTCATGGTCTCATGGTGCTTCAAGGGTGCTAAAAATGTTAGTTCTTATTATTTTGTAAATACTGTTTTTATTAGATCAGGAAAGTTAAAAAGGGTCAGCAGTTCTGTTTACACGCCAGAGGGAAAACAGCTGAAAACGACCATACAGTGCAAAAGAATTTGACCATTAACATTGTGCATCAAATTATGATAATGAGACCATTAAATATGATGTCTTCAAATAACATGGACATATGTAGCATCAATATTAACTCCATAGAACAGAATACTGTCAACATAGAGGCACAATGACAGGATGATATTGTATAATGGTCTGCACAGAACGTACCATGATAGAGAAAATGAAAATACGTAAAGTGATACAATAATTTGATAGTCCTTCACTTTCCATTCCTACATAGTTAATCTAATTTCCAAACGTTCCCTCTCTGAAAACCAGGATTTCCATCCGCAAAAGGAACTAATATTTGATCTTGTGTTATATGTTATTACAAGATTGAAGCGTCTTTGCAGTTCAGTGTATTTGTGTTCGAGTCTAGAGGAGCTCAAGATTACTTTGGAGTGAAGCCAACTACACGCAGCTCAGTGTTCAGTTTGGCTTTAAGTGTGAGATGTAAAGCTTTAGCACAGGCTTGATTTGTTTTCTTACTTAATTCCATCTACATGTGCTCATGCTTACATATTTATATACAGTATACTCATACTGCATTATCATAGGACACAGAACTTACAAAGTGATACAACAGATTGGTCAAACGCCTATCGGAGGTTTCAGGGTCTGCTCCCTGGGGGTCTGTGCTGGACCTGAGGCCATGGGAAGACCACGAGACACGGTCGTCGCTCTGAGCACGGTAAACATTTCACAACTCGCAGCAGCTCAGCTGTTAAATTCATTATTTCTCTGTTTAAGGCACCGCAAGGCCAGAAGCAGCAAGGCCCTGTCCGAACCAATTTTACAGGGGCCAGAGAGTGCGTGTATACGTTCATCAGCAGTGATAGATTAGCTATAGCATGACATCAGCCTGGAACCATAACAAACACGGAAATGTCAGCTGCTGATCTGCTGTTTGAGAGATAAGGCCTGCAATACAGCTACACGCATTTACATTAATAAAGCACAAAGATGTTAATATGTGAGGGCATTTAGACAGATTGATTGATAGATAGATAGATAGATGAAGAAGAGTTGCAGATGGACAGAGAGTAACACTGACAGGAGTGTTTATCAATGTCAACAAGTTGAGGGTATCGTCTTGTGTGATGATCAAGTTTTTGACTGCTTCTCACTTCTGCTTGTCTCAGCGTGACAACATGTAAATGTAAACTCAAACACAAGCTAAAATCCAATTGGCTGCAGTGGTAGTTGAGCACGGGTCGAACTGAATGGAGTGCTACAATTGGTCGCTTTTGTGTGTACACAGAGAGGAGCGGTCTGTACGGGAACATGCCTGGAATGCCAGAGGTCAGAAGATGGAATATTTTTGTCTCTCTTCCCTTTCTGGTTTTTTCCACAAACCTGGTTTCTGTCTGATTTCCTGTGTATTTCAACCAACAATCATGTTGCATGTAGAGAAGTCAAATATATAAACTGATGTTTATCTCACTAGTTGCAATGAAACCTGCACAGCGAATCGGACAAAATCACTTGGGTGAGCCCACCTCAGTTTGCTGTCGCCTCGGTTGTAGCTGAAGGATGCTGTGCGGCTGCCGAAGGAGGCGGGGGGTTTGATCACAGACTCGAGAGAAGGGCTCTTCCTCATCAGGCTGTTAGGTTTCAGGTCTTCCCCGCACCCCTCTGCGGTAGTCAGAAACAGAGGGAACATAATATATTTTATAATACATTACATATTCGTAAAGTAGGACTGCAACAAAAGTATGGGTGAGTATAAACATTCAAGAGCAGGTTTTGAGAAGAGAAATGGAACAACTGGAAATGGAAAGCTAATTCATACATGTTACTGTAGGACTGATTCTAAAAGGTCAGAGATTTGTCAAGTCTACTGAAGAATGTCACAGTATGGTCCAGGGGTACTAAGTAGGAATACCCCGTCACCTTCAGCTTTCAGCCTATTCTTCAAAATACAAAATGCCCGAGGAACTCTGTCTTGCCTGAACAAGTCTCGACTGTAGCCACTGTCGGCACAAAGACACAGCGAGTGAAGTGATGAGGCAGGCAGTGAAATGAGATCAGGGAAGTGATGCAAACTTTTTTACCTGCCGTTTTACTGAAATAGTGCCCTACACACAATAACACTTTCTATAATGCCCATGCACATGTTTTCACTTTACTTAAAGCACCCACTGACCACATAGAGTAACTTATAATCACAGCATTCATAATACACTATGATCCTCGTAACAAACTAGTCAGTTTATGAAGTATTTTGAGACTTGACCTCAGAGATCAAGAGATAATGTGTTATGAATATTGTTATCAAGCATTATGAATATTTGAGTGTAACTATAATTATGCAATGCTATAAGAAGATTATAACGCATTATAAGTATGTTTGTAATGCATTATAGATATGGGTGTGCACATGTTACTGTAAGTTTCCAGAGCTGGAACATCTGTTGACTGTAGATGCAGGCATTTTAAGAGCTCAGTCACCCCCTTTACAGTATTTGCTTTCAGAAAATAAAATCATAAAACTACGCACAAAAACAACGGAAGGCGGATGATGGCATATCTTTATTTCTCTCATGATTTAACTGTCTGTGTAAACATTTCAGCCCTACTCATTTCTAAAGGAACTGACTCATAGTAGCACTTTGGCTGGCTGGCCATTGACTTTAAAGCAGTGTGCGAGGCCCTGCATTGGTAATCTAATCATGAATGAAATATGGATAAACATGTAAATTAAACACCATGACTTCCAGCTAAAACCACATTTGTGTACATACCATGATGATGAGAGAATTCTCCATGGTGGATTCTGTTTTCTAATGTCTTTGACAGTGGCTTTATGTACGTGTGTCTCTAAAAGAATATAAAACAGAACAGAGATCTCATCACATCAGAGTGTGAAACAGTGAATCACTTGTAGGAAGTTACTTTCTTTACATGTGAACGGGAAACATATCTTGGTGTGTACCTGGACGGGGGAGACGGCAGCAGCAGGAGCAGTGCGTACAGGGATCCCACTCAGCGGTGTTCTTGGAGAGGAAGGCATTTGAACCGTGTGGCCTGGTCCATCTGAAAGACCAGATAACATACCTGTTGATTATTGTACAGAGAGAGAACTGTAAGTGATGACTCAAGTTTAGTATAGCTTGAGATAAAAACAAAAGAATGCAAAAAGAAGCAAGGAGAAAAGTGTAATATTTAACATTAGGAGCAAAATAACATCCAAATGTTTGGCCTCAAATACTCTTTCCATACTGAAATCTGTTTATAGTATCCACAACACACAGTCGACATTCATTTTGTTGGTCAGATTCTTAGCCTTGTTTACTTATTATTTAAGTATATGCAGTGTCCACTTTATTAGCGTAATGCAATCCAATACAACTCTTCTATAAAGTCTACCTTTATGAGGCCTATAATGCTCAGTTTTTGTTGACACTGTCCTATATGTCTGCCCGAGCCACACAGACTCCAAAACAATGAACTACACATGGCTTGAAATGACAGAAATCCACACTGGAGATCTCACCAGCTGTTCTCCTCTACAGTTACACTGCTGTTTTGGGATTCCCTGTGTGTGCGTGTGTGTGTGTGCGTGTGTGTGTGTGTGTGTGTCAAAGGGCTCAGTGCTCACTCTGTCCAACAGTATCAAAGGACTTAATGAGGGATTTGACAGTAGCTTCGGGCTCTGAGTCTGCATCTCCACTGGCGTCGGAGGGTGTGGTCGGGATCACGGAGATGCCGCACCAGTGACGGTTGATATCGGAGTCGGACACCCTCACCTCGTCACCTTGGGACCTAACAGACAAAATGAACAGGGTTGCTGCGTAGAGACATATACAATACATATACCTGTGGAGAGGAGGATCTAAAAGAGACAGCGTGCGTCTTTGTAAACTGGAGACTCAAAACCCCTTACTTTACTATTCACTTAACGAGATTATCTGCCGATTAGTACGAATGAACGTTCTACAATGAGATGTTTACTCAGTGTATTGACAAGATCATGTGAACAAAGTTTGAACTGAAGAACCGTCAATAACCAATGATCAACTGCAGATTTAAACTTGGAACACAAAATCGAGGCACTTTGTATCTATTGGCCCCCGTTGGACATTGGACTCAAGGCTGCAGCGTGAGGGGATTTGGACTATCTTTATCAGTGAGGAATTTGTTTCTTAAACATTGCACTAAACTCACCTCCAAAGAGTGTCGACTGAAAGAGACACAACCACAGTTGGACTGGAGTAATGTCATTTATTCATTTGCCTAATGAGCAACAGATCTATACGGTACACTTTTATGTATTCCTTCACAGACATAGAACCAGTCTTTCTTTGCACAATAAATTAACAACACAGTCACTGTATTGTTTAGTAAATGGCTTTACCAGAGACAGAAAATGATCTATTACACAATTACCATCTTGTTTTTTTCTCGATGGTATTTTTGAGCATATCCAAATGTTAACATTTTGAGTACCAGTACCTTATCATCTGGTAGAACAGTATGGCTTTTAATAACATATGCACAAATTGATCTTCTCTAAATGGAACCTGAGATCCTGCAATATGCCTTTACACTACAACACAGGATAATGTGTATGGGTTTGGCTCAAAGGTGAAATACATCAACCATGTGATAAGTGATGCATCTTTTAAAGTGAGCAACATCACACTATGAGGATCAAAAACGATGCTGAAGAAATCTCTCAATATGTTTAACATAGTGATTCAACATCGATCAACAAGTAGCAAAGCCTTGAGTGTCCTTTTGAGGTTCAGTTAAAAAGTCTGTGTTTCATTCTACGTTAACTTGCCAGTAATGTTGCTGAAAAGAGGAAGAGTAAAAAATGAGTTCAACTCATCTGTAGCACAGTATTCTTGTTGGTTGTGTCAAAGTGGACCTTTAACCTTTTGGTATGTGTGAGGAGAGTGAAACTTGACTCTGAGGTACGGCTGTTTGTGTTTGTGGCAGTTCTTAAAATCTAATTTTGGCAGTATTCTGGATCTGCCAACATGGCTGACTCATCCTGGTTATTCTATCTGTTTTATTTTATCTTTATCTTTAAAAAAAAAAAAACGAACATAGCAATCATCAAAAATACACATACAAACAGTAACAGAGCAAATGACACCAGTATGTCCACATTGATGACACCGGTATGGAAATGAAGTGTTCCATAGTGCCATCTATCGGCTAATTAATGATACTGCATTCAGTTTCATTTCAGGAGCAGAGACCAAACTTCTATCTTAAAACTACGGTGAAGTTGTGTTTTTTTTTGTTGTTTTTTTTCAACAGATCGTAAATGTCACGTTTTAAAGTAAGCAGACAGACGTCAAAGTGAAAGTAATTTGACGGATAGAGAAATAGTATAAAAACCATGAGCCAACTGTTTAATATCAACTGGACTCAATTCTGCTGCATTGCTCTTGCCTTGAAATGTCGATTCTCTGATGTTACGTTCTTAAGTCTGACTTTGTTCCGGGGCTTCATGTAACAGATTATTACCCTCTCCTGTACCATCTCAACTTTCTAAAAAAGGCACAAATCAGCTTTGCACAGTATGAAAACGAGTCTTCCGTTTCGTTAAGGGTCAAGGAATTTACAAAACAAAGAATACATTCATTAAGAACGAAAAAATACATAATTATAATTGAAAAGGTTCCATAAGACATGTAAAGAAATTGAAGCCAGACTTGGTATCACGAGACTCTTTGTGTACTGCGTCTACACTGGTCACTGTGGCGTTCAATGAGACTGGTTCACCACATTACATTTTGAATGACACAGAAAGCAAATAAGTGCAACAACAATAACACTGTCTTCACGCGGTGGAGGGCACTTCTCTAGTGCCCTTCTACTGCCGTCTTGGTATCAAAAGTGGCTCCGGTGCTTATTCTGAAAAGACAAGAAGAAGGAAGATAAACTATTGTATACTGTATTTAAACATGACTGTATATGTGCACTGTACATGTGCAGCAAATCTGGAGATCTTACATTTCTTCTGAACATTGCTATTATGAAAAGCAGACCTCTGGGCACTTCTGGACTTTTTTTAAAAACTCCGTTCCATGCATACATCATAGAATCAATAAGGTCACTCATAATGTATAGTCTTACAAATTCACTCGGTGAGGAAGACGCTATGCAAATGTGTCTGAGCACGAGTTTAATCCAGTCATGCCGTGCAGCCCATCCTGCTATCTCACCAAAAACGTAGGAGAGTTATTCATTCAAAGAACAGCAGGTGGCACCAGATACATCTACTTGAACGGCAGGTTTAAAGAAGGAGGCGAAGCAAACCAGAAAGCTAAGATAGTCCTGAAGGTGCAATCGGCCAGCATACAGAAAGACGGACAGAGTCAGACGGGGCTGTAGCAGCGACATGAAGCCAAACACAGATAGGAAGGTCAGTGAGCAGCAGCAGCACACAGAGGAGGGGGGATGCAGGCTGGCTGACAGAAAGGGCTGACAAGGAACTCACCTGGACTTTACATAGGGAGGCTTGTCAGAGGGGCATCTTTGACAGGGTCATCACAGGGAGCTGCTGGAGGTGGGGAGCGGACACAGCGTAACGGCTAATCTCGGGGAAAGTTCGCTGTTTTAGCCATGGTCCCAAACTAGTAAAGTCATATACTAAATTCACAAGGACTGCATGACATTTGAACAAGTCATATTTGGTTTTAAACCAAATATTTCTTATACACTAAAACTGCTCTCATGAGGTTTGTGAGGTGTATATAGTACGACTGAATAGGTTTCAAGTAGAATCATTTAGAGATGGGTTGCTTGCTTTAAGCACTATACCAAACAAACAAACAGAGAGCTCTACAGTAGCAAATCTAAACAGACTTTGCCACAGGAAGTATTTGAGCTGGCATGATAATGAAAGGGGACAACACTGTCATGAACACCATGGCATTTGCACGCTCAAAAACACTTATATATATATATATATATATATACAGTATACCCACACACAAACCAATGCAACGCTCTCTGTGAGTACATCAATCACATAACTGCATGGCCACAGTGCGACAACACTACATCAAATCTTAAATAGCATGATACATCGGCGTGAAATATTGACAGAGTTGCACTGGCTCCTGTGTTGAATTGTAAAAGACTTCAAAGCAGCATCTATGCGTATAGTAGCACTTCTCTGCCTTCTCGTGTAATAATAATAATTTCCACTAATAAATATTCTGTAGTTTTTGTAAGTGTGAGGTTTGAATGTTACTATATAGGGCAATGCTCAGTGTGGAAGAGGGAGACAGAGAGGGCAGCAGCTTAAAGGAGTAGAATACACAGAGGGAAATACCGCAGGAGACTGCTAATTTACCAACAGAGTCTGCCAAATCCCAGAAACCTAAACTCTGAAACCCCCGAGGATTTAATCTTGTGAAATACCAAGACATGAACTCAATAATGTCTACACACTGGTGAATCCAGGTGAACATTTGATCCTGCTTTGACAACAAATATGAATTTTGGAAACCTCTTAAGCAAGAGATTCTTGAGAGTTAAAATTATAATATATTACTGTTTGTATCACACGTTTAAAACAGTGGAGGGGGATATGGCAAGACTCTGGCAGGTATCTCATGTCCACATTGTGTTTAGAGAGAAAGGAACTGCAGCCCGATGCTAAACAGGGGAGCCGGGAGGTGGGTGATTGGTGGAGTGGGAGGAACTTAAAAAAAAGAAAAAGAAGGAGGAGTATGGTGGAGTTGGTACCTGACACCCTGCAGGGCTTCAAGGTCTGTAGAAAGCTTTGCACTGCGACCCTGTTCCTCCTGCAGCTGCCTCCTGAGTGTACGCAGCTCCTGCTGAGCTTCCACCTTGATGTCGTTTGCCACCACCACTGCCGTCTGGAGGTCCGCCTGGAACCGACGCCACTCGTCTTTTTCCTCCTGGAGACACAAACATATGGATATGCAGTGTACAATACAGGAAGATGCAAGTATCGACACATGCAAATTAGTACAGACGGAGGAACTGTTTGTGGACCCTTTGGATTGAGTTGGACGTCAGCATCGAGTGCTCCTAAAATAAAGTCTAACGGCTGATAAATTAACTCTGATAAACAAGTGAAACACAAACAATGTAATTTCTCGTGTACTTACTGAAGACAATGATATTTATAGTTTAGGCTGGAAAAACTATATGAACTTTTAGAATAAAGACTGTGTCAGTGACTGTTTCAGTAGCGTCTACTCTTTGGAACAGACGGGTGAAATCTCAGAAAGAATTGTTTCAACTCCTAAGACTAGAAATAACTTAATAATCTCCTTAAGACATGGCAGAACAACAGCTGCTCTTTGCATTGAAGCAGTCAAAAGGTACAAAAATCAGTACCTTGAAGTTTTGTTTTTAGTTAAGTCATGTTTTTTCCATTCTCAAGTAAGACTTGTGTGTCCATCATCAGGCAGATACATGAGAGAAAGGAGAGGACTGTAACGATTATAAAGGAGGTGACAGTGAAACCCAGGAAAGTGGAGTCTGGTGCCCTTCATAATGTTTATTTTGAAGAAAACAAACTGAAAACAAAGGTGATGTTCATGAGGGAATATAAAAAAAATACATCGCTGCCCATCTGAACAGCCCACCTGGATGCTACTGGAATAATACTCAGTGGACAGACTCCTCCAAGGGCAAACATTTTGGCAAAAAGACAAGAACAAACTGAGCACTAGAACATCATCCAGGCCTTCAAAGTGGTACAATACTCCACCTAAAGGTATCTTTTGAGTATCACTCACAGCTTCCTTACCTTAATCCGTCTACTCAAGACTTTCAGCTGTCGGTCTGCTTCAGCTTTCTGCTCCTCCAGCTTTTTGACGAGATCTGCAATGATAAATTATTCAAGGTGTTTGAGAAGCGCAGGTGTAACGTACTATAGAATCACGGTGATCAAACACAGCATTCACAACTAAACAATCAGCCGAGCTTCAGCAAAAAACGCTCCTATTAAAGTAATAGTTACATCTGGACAGTATCAGATCTCTCTAGAAATGATTCTCATCACTGCAATAATATTAATTTATATATATATATATATATTCAGACCTATCATCTGCTAGAATTCAATATTTGCCAACTGCACCACTAGTGAGTCAGAGACAGCTGTGTTACAGTATGCCCTCCTTTTGTGCCAATTCTTACCCAGTTGCCCGTTAGTACGGTTAGTTATAAGGCACATGGCCGAAATTAATGCAATCTAATACAACAGCTCTGGAATAAACCCTCCCTCCATGAAGGTTATGATATTCAGGTTTTGTTGGAACTGTTTAAAGAGGTATCATCTCAACTATGGTCATTTGTGAGGCGTTTCTCATATTTTGTCCACCAAATTTGCATAAATGAGGACAAGCTCAAAATTGGAAACCACTGCAGGTTAAAACACTCCACAGAGAGAAGGACTTACTCTCCATGTCCAGGACGGCTTGGTTGGTGTGGCAGTTGACAGCCCTCTGCTGCTCCACCTGGTCCTCCAACTCAAAGATGGTCTCCTTCAGTTCCTTCACCTGGTTCTCGGCATGGATCCCGACCTCCTCCAGCGAAGTCATCCGGCTACCGAGATCCTGCTCCCTCATCTCGGCCCGCTCCTGAACCTGCTGGCATTTGGCCTCCACCTGTGTACGTGTGTGTGCATTTGAGAGATTATGATGGGTTCAGTACAGAAATGGATTCAAAGAAAGAGGCAGTGTTTCATGTGAAAGCAATTACTGTCACTGTGCTAATTAGATGGAAGCACTTAAGTCACATTTGGCTCAATAAAGGATAATTTATGATATCTCCCAGACATCCTTGTGATGCAGTGATTCCATTTCCATATCTTCATGCTGCTTTTTTACATCTTTCAAATGATTAGATAAAAGATGCTGTATCAAGACTTTTGGGTGGCTGGATGAAAAAGACAAGCAGTATGTGTGAGGGAACCGCTGAACAAAATGTAATTAAAGCAGGCTTTAATATGTCATGGTATAGTACTGTTTTATATGGAAGCCCTGTGATCCATTATCTAAGTCTGATCTAAACGGTTTTCTCTCCCGTTAGTTCTGATCCTGGCAAAACGTAGATCTGACTTAGAAAATGGATTACAGGACTTTTTATTTCTCACTTGCATCTCAAAGCTTCCTTGATCTGATGAAAACAAACTTTTAAAGATCAAGCAGTACAAAGTAAAAGGTACAAGTAACCATAAAGAGTCTAATTAGCCCTCATGCATTGCATCCTTCCCAGTGCGACTACTGCACATTAGGACATTGCATGGTTAGCGCAGCTTCCACATCTGTCACTTTATTTAAGCAGTTTTTCCAAATATGATAAAAGTCGCATAGAAATAAGGGTAAATGTAAACATTGGACTGGGTTGTGAATGGTAATAAATGGTTACAGCAGTCATGCTGGAGTCCACACGGTGCTCTTTACACATGAGCTTAACTATGTCTGACAATGACCGTTTGGCCACAGTAATATACCAACAAGCAAGGGGACAGTGACTCACGGAAACAAGGGTTCAGTCTGGATGAGATCTGACTGCATCAATGTGTTCATTGCTTCAACTCTTGAATTACATACAAGCTGAAGTCAGTGTACCACGATGATTGCTCTCATCCAGAAAGCAGATCTCTGAGCATAGTGTACTAAAATAAGTAATAGATGTAGTTATGCAGGACCCTCTCCCTCACACCACGTGGCTCTGATAGATTAGGGTGTCCGTGAGTGAAGTCATGGAGCGGCCTCACCCTCACACCCATGTGGCAGAGAACAGCAGCGTGACTCAAGAGGGTCACACACTGGTGGACCACCCTACTGTTGGCACGGCAGTCGCAGTCCAACAATGACGACACCCCTAAGGCGATGGTGACACGCCCAAATTTGGAATCAACAACCCCCGACATGACCCTGAACTTACACAGCCTCAGCCGTTCTGGTGTCTGTGGTGAATCATATGAAAACTATTTGAGCGAACATGAGTTCATGTGCTGTGGTGGTGAAGTGATGAAAAGGACCCAATACCAGCTGCAAAGCCTGTTAAATGGTCGTGTTTGAATCATTGTGGAAAATGTGTGTCCTCGTGTTCATATTCAAAAAGTGGCGACTGCGCCAATAATGATAAAAAACGTTATGGTCGCCCATTTGACTTTCATTTTCTTTTTAACCATTAGCAAGTACTAGTCGCATTCTGGTCTCTTCCAAATCTATTCCTGAAAATAACTGCTTTGCAAGAACAGAATCTGTTTCTAAACGAGTGAACTGCTGCTTCGCTTTTTCAAATGTTACAGTAAATATGGAGAGATTGTTCTTTTGGGAATTCCTGGACGTTTTGTCAAACACAAGAAAACGAATGAGCTTACTAGCGTAACAAAACGTTTTGTGAACAGTGAGTCACATACAGTATAATTCAAGGCCCGGTTTTTACACCCACCACTTAGTACAACACAAAGGAAGCAACCAAGTGGAAACAGTTTGAACTGTGTAGAGACATTCTCTAACCAACTGAGACTTGTCCAGTTTTAAATAGATTAATTTGAATCTTTGTCGACATTTGTCTCAAAAAAAAACTGTTATATTCTGTTATATTCAGTGATAAATACTAATTTCTTTTGTTACGTTCTGACTGAATTCTGTGAGTAATTCTCTACCGTTCAGTATTTCCTTTCTGGTGTATATACTGTATGTTATATAGTAATGTGACCTCCTACCTTGGACATTGTGGATTGCACATGCTCAGCCTCGGCTTGGGCCTGTAGCAGCTCCTGCCTCAGCTCTGTCAGCTCCACCTCCAGCCTGTCTCTCTCAGCGTGGGCTGTTTTCAGCAAGTCCTGCATCTCAGTGCTATCACTGGCACTCTGCATGGCCTTCAACTCACCAACTTTTTGCCTCTCAATGTCCACCTGCGCTTTCAGCCTACTGTTTTCCAGTCGGAGACTGTCTGCTGTCGCCCTCTGCTCCTCCGCGGCCTGTGCTGCCTGACCTCCGGCCTCTAGCTCCCTGTCCAGCTGGGACTGCAGCCTGTCCATCTCCTCTCTGAGGCAGCGCGCCTGGCCCTGGGCCTCCTGGTTCTCCCCCTCCAGAGCCCGTAGGCTGCCCGTCAGCTGCTGCTGGATGTCCACCAGCTTTTCCCGTTCGAAGCGCGAGCTCTCGACCAGCTCGGAATACCTTTGCTCCAGCTCGGCCAGCCGAGGCCCTTGGCTACCCAACTCCTCCTCCCTCTGGGCATGAGCCTGGGCTTGCTCCTGAAGTCGGCCAGCAAGCGTCTCGTTCTTCTGGGCCAGCTTCTCCAGGCGCTCCCTCTGCTGTTGAAGTGAGGTCTGCAGGAGGCGCTTCTCCTCGGCCAGACGCTCGTTCTCGGCCGTCAGCTCCTGCACCACTTGCTGCTGGTCGGCCAGCTCCTGCAGAGTTGCCTGCAGCTCCTCGGCGGTGCTGTGGTGGCTCTCCTCCATCTTGTGAATCTGTTCTGTGAGGCTCCGCACCGCCACGTCCTGCCCCTCTGTCCCCACTACAACGACTTCCCCACTGACACCGCTGCTCGCCGATTCTGAATGAGACGGGATCCTCTCAAACTCTGAGGAGTCGGGCGATGGGGAGTCCTTGGCGATGTCAGAACTGGAAGAGACAGAGGTTTTGAGAGGACTGGCAGCACAGGGGAGACTGTCCAGTTGCGGAGTTGCAGAGTTGGAGTCTGAGGACAGGCCATTCACCAAAGGCTTGGAATGGGTGCTAGAGTCTGTACTAGAGAGAGGAGAGGCATCCAAGCAAAGCAGCTTTTCCTTCAGTGCCTGGTTCTCCTCCCTAAGCGCTGCCAGCTCTCTCTGAAACTTCCCGTTCTTCTCCCTCAGCTCCCCAACCAGCACAAAGGCCTCCGCCACCTTTCCCTGCTCTTGATCTGCAGCAGGCTCTTCCCATGAGACGGAGTTGGGTGAGGAAGCAGTGGAGGCTTTACCTTTGCAACACTGCAACTCCATCCTGAGATTGCTGATCTCTAAGTCTTTGGCCTTGGCCTCAGCCAGCAGATCTTTCACCTGGCACTCCAGAAGGCCCTTTTCCTGGACCTCTGCATCTCCACGGGACTTGGTTGAACTGCGTGTCGGCTTTGTCAGGGTGGAGAGGCTGGAAGTGCTGGCACTAGACACCATCCTCTTTGTGGTGGAGCTCCGAAGCTGGTCCCTCAGAGAGATGCGGTCTCTTGTTATGGAAGAAGGAATCTCTCTAGGAGCTGGGATACCAGACTTCTTGGCTGCTTGTGCACCTGCAACACAGATCAAAACAGAGGTACATAGTGAGACATTGTCCAAGTACCGATGAGATCAAATCAGTATTTGCTGTAGATCATCCACAAAGCAGTTGATGGAGCTGTGTGATTTAGAAATGTAAATATGAGAGAAAATGCCCAAATATGATACTGTCAATATATCCCTTTAAAGTTAAAATAATAACCATAACCTACATTCACCAATGAGTAGTAGAAAAGTGTAATCTCTAGTTAAATTAACAATATCTGCAAACTTTACAAAAATAATACAAGCCTTGACAGGACGGTGGATTTGTTAACATCACGTAATGACACTTTTGAATGAGTTGAATGGACAGTGTGTCACATTGAGATTGTATTATTCAGCAGTTTTATGTTGCTGGTCACTGCGCCCTATTCACATATTGTTCTCCGCTTGGACAACAGAGCATCTGCCTGGCACTGTCTGTCTGTTGTCATTCATCGCTGCAGCAGAGCTCAACTGTGGCATTTCAAAAGGCATCAGCGTGCGTCGCTGGCGCGAGCCTTTTTCCAGGCCTCTCTCAGATATGAAGAGTATTTACTGATGTCCAGCGTGAGCATGGTGCCGCCTGTTAACATTTTATTGTTTATTTTCCTGATCATCAGCAAACGGCGATGCAGACACAAGGGGGTCGCTTGTTTCAGAGGATGACAAAGGTCCCTGTGCACGTGGAGCGTTCAGGCACAAATCAGTTTAAGCAGCGCTCTGACAAAGACGGCCCTGTATCTCTCACATGCATACATCATCATCACCATCATCAAACCCATAGAGGCTAGACAGACAGCCTGTGTGCTGAGATAGACAACGCATCACCCTGAGCAGCACATGCACACATTTACAGCACACACGCACACACACACACACATACAAAATCCACAAACAAATGGCCTAGTTTGGGATGGAAATCCTATATCCCTGTGGGTTCTTTAAGCACTCTGCCAGTGATGGGCACTTTGCACTGACTACCCCCCTTATTGAATAAACTAGCAACTGTGGCCGGAGCTGCCAACACTGGCACAAATACTGGGGTACAAAGCTGTTTAACATTCCCAGAGTGTGCAGCTGTGGTTGAAAGTGTTAGGTGGGCTTGCTAATGATAATTGTTGTGTAAACAATCGAGGTTGAGATTTTAAAGAAAACCAGGGACTGTAAAAATGAAGAGTGGCAGAACAACACTCAGGTCTGTCGCTTCTGAATGTCAGTGAGATTAGGCACTCGGGTCAAAAGCCACTCCGTAAAATGAACTGCTGTCATGTAAGATTCACATTAACGAATGCAGCACTTCATCCCCATCAGTGAGATGAATTTGCTGCTGGACAGAGCTGCACCTGACAAAGATCCAGTGTTGCCATTCAAAATCTACACTTTTCTGTGCACTTCACAGAGGATGAAGCCATGACTGACAGAATGAGGACAATACGCACTCCGAAATGATGTACCGTCACGTGGAAGATGTTAAAACTAGATCAGCACTGGGTGTTATAAATTACTATTTACCAGTAAGCACTACTGGAGGCAGAAAAACAATGACGCACCTCACAGCTATTTCATGGCCACTTGTCATACTTTCATTGTAGTTGGCAATAAAGACAGAGACAATAGGTCCTTGTTGGAGAGAGAGCGGAGTCCGATGTGATTAAGATCCATTCCCACGAGGATGAGTGGGACTGTAGTCCAACCTTTCATTTGCTGTTCCTTCATATTCTGTTTTCCTCTTGCGCTCTCAGTGAATAAAACCCAGATGGAGCACATGAACTCACTCATCTTTAGATCGCCCACCTCTTTAACCATGACATCACCACAGCTGCTTAACGTGCACACAGAAATGACACCGGTCCAGATGCCAGGAGTCAGCACAGACAGAAGGATCCTGAAGAGGAAGAAACAGCTACTAGGATACAGCGTCAGATAGTTAGAGGATCTCTATTTTACTTGGACATAGTCCCAGAAATAAAGATCATAAAAACATAAATTCCACTGTTGGCTATGAAAACATTATTTGACCGAAAAAACAATATTGTTTTCTAAAGCTGATATTGGCCACCGGCGCTGACAGTGTATCAGCGTGTCTCTAGTAGATAAAATATAGCACCGCAGTTAAACAACCTGCTTCCAAGACCAACACAGCGGCTGAAGAATGCTTATTATTTCAATTTTTTTCATCATCAAGTGCCCACATTGTCAAACACAGAGCCAACAAAAGGCATGACTCTGACAAGACACCAGAAACAGTCTCTTAAATGTATTTGACAACCATTTTGAACAATCTAAAATAAAGCTGATTTTGGATCGAAGATTGGAGAAAGAGAGACCGAGGGAAGCATCTCCCTTACTCGGATGTCCCTGAAAGATGCAATTAACCTCCAACTGCTCTAGCTGATCTGCTGAGTGGCATCATGTAATGTATTAGAGTGACAATTACATCACCCGATTTCTGAATGGCGGCAGAAAAGGGAGAGAGGGGTAAAGTTTCTAATGAAATGTCCACCCCATCACAAAGCTCACACACTGCATCACAGCAGTCAGTTGTAATTTAGTGAAATCTGTGCATGTGTGTGAGGGCACAATAACATTTCTTTATAGTTCTTCTTCTAGGTGAGCAAATCTTTCTTTCATAAATAAGAACTAAAATATCAAAGACCACGGTGGTTAAGAGTTAGCTTAGTCTTAATTTAGTGCCGTCTTTGATGTAGGCCGGCTCAGGTCCAGGACCATTCATAGGTACCTCTGAGAAGCACTAAATCTGTGAAAAGGAGTGGAGTGGGCAGTTAGCTGGCTCATGGAGGAGCTTTTCTTCCTCTAGCGAGAAATAAATCCTTCGAGCAGTCTGAGCAGTCCAGCTCCAAAGTGCAAATACTATCAAACACCAGTTTTGGAGAAAGAGAAGAAAGTCATTCCCAGTGAGAGAAAACATTGTCACAGATGAGTCTTTTTACATTTAATATCTCAGGAACAGTTACTCCCTCTAAAAGACTAAAGAAAAGTCATTGCTCACATTCAAGGAGAACCTTCAATTATTCCAGATTACGAATCTTTCATGACCAGTGACAGTCTCCAGAGAGTAGCTGTTAGAACAGACTGTCACTAGCATTACAGCCTTGCGGTTGTATGTTTTCGCCAACCAGCCATGTTGCAGTTTACATCCATGTCTGTCCAAAATGACATCACTTCATCAATTTAACCAATTAGACATTTGTGTGAAATTGTCACAATTAGAAATTGAATTCTTGAGTTGTGTGTCACGGTGAACTTTAACCACTAAAATCAAATCCGTTCAACCTCGAGTCCAAGTGGACGTTTGTTTCAAATTTGTTCCCGATTCATCTCATTAATGAGAATCACAGAGAGCTTCACCTTTGACCACCAGAATCTAAATCAGTTCATCCGTGACTCCAAATGGACAGACAACCCAAAAAGATGATGCCTCCACCCACGGATGTCGCCGGTTTAGATGAACACCAAACCTGATTGGGGCGACTGCGCATATGAAATGATTGTGTTGTTCATATTTGATCTAAATTACTTGCACAGACTGACTTCCAGTACTCCAGACCAGTCAGTCATTCCATGGGAAGTCAGCTCCCTGATCACAGTAATGCACTGTGCTGGCTTCTTTCTCTCTAATGAAGATAAGCTTTCAAATCACAGCAGGAGCCGTGTGGCTGGACACCGTCCAGCACCAGCCGGTTAACTGCAGCCAGCCAGCCTGCCAGCGAATAGGTGACAGAGTGCATTGTGGGCACAGTGCACAGAGTCTTCAATTTAGAGAACAGTAGGGTCACGGGTGAGGAGTCACGGTGAATTAATGGCCAAGTGTCAGAGAGAGTTGGCACCTGAAATGACGCACTGGCTTCGCCATCCGCACAAACAAAGCGTGTGATGGGAATCTCTCGCTGTCTTTCCTCTGTCTTCCCTTCCGTGTTCCAGGAAATGTGCTGTGCAGTTTTTTCAGTCAGGTGGAAATGGAGAGGAGAGACCGAAAAAGGCAGTCGGTGATTCTGGTCTTCCTGTTGTCCAACTGTCTGGGCATGAAATAGGTCAACAGGCGCCTATCAGTCAGACGCTGGGACTCAGAGGCATTCCTTTCCTCTTACTGGAGGGGGAGATAGACAGAAGCGAGGCTCCATGACACCCACAGACCCGCAGAGATTAGCCTGGGATGCTAAGCTGCATCACAACCTCACAATACCATGACGACACCACTTGTTGAGGATAAAAATGTTCTTTCACTATAATAAGGTACTTCGCACATCTTCAAAAATAAGGTACACAAGTTGGATAAATAATGGGTTTTGTGAAAATGATAACATGTTTTGTGAATACAGCTTGAAACTTTTCCTAAAAAAACTGCTGGAATTTTCTGACTCCAGTCTAGCACATGACATCATATGCAAAGTGATAAATAAATAACAGTACAAACAATACAAAACTAGGGCAATCTAATTCACCTTAAGAGCAGTGTTTGCTCCAGTCAGCTGTGTAAACCAGATATACTGAACTACATCACAAAACTGCAGAGATTCACTGACGGCCGTCAACAGTCTAACACCGTCGTTGAAACCAGATTTGAATGGCTGAGTGCACTTGGGAGAAGTCCATCACAGAATCAACGGATTCCAAAATATAATTTGACCTTTGGCTAAATGTTTGAGATTCATCGATGGAAGAGTCTGCTGTGACTTTTACACCCATAAAACCGATTATATTATATTTTGTCAGCTATTTTTTTTTTTTTACTGAGAACATAAAGTAGATCTGAGCCGGTTGCATACCTACTTGAGCAGCACACTACAGTACAATATCATCAGAAGGCTCATTTCAAACTCTTTAATATAATGAAACGTATCGCTGCAAAACCGTAGCTGCGTATAAGGGTTTTAACGCTCAGCGCACTGAAAAATAACGTTAAAAAGTTGAAAGTATTTGTGTGGAGGTAACTACATGACGGGAGTCAGGAGAAAGTTTGCTGTTTCAG